GACTAAGATACTGTTTGGAGTGCAGAGCAATTAATGGTATTACAGTCGCAGATAAAAACAATTATGTTACATTATTCTTATTTTTTGAATAAAGTTAATCAACAGGAAATACGAAGAGGAAAGGGGATGGAATCAGATCCTTTCCAGAGAGGTGGTAATAAAGTGGAAAATGTCCAACTACCCCAATTATTACTATATATTCCAAATTCAAAGAATAAAATTAGGCCACAAAGAAATTCGCTACTGTCTTGAAAATCATTATTAGAGTGTTGTGGACAACTAGTTTTCGCAAATCACTATCACAATACAAATTCAAAGAATAATATTAGGCCACAAAGAAATTCGCTACTTTCTTGAAAATCATTATTAGAGTGTTGAGGACAACTAGTTTTCGAAAACCACTGAAAGGGTTTTTCTATAGAGTGCTCATGGGCACTCTATAAAAGAGGAGAGAGAGATAGAAAGAGATAATTTGGGAGGGGATCCCAATACAAATCAGGTGGGCCCCCTCCTCAATCATCTCTTTCTATCTCTCCTCTTCCATAGAATGCCCATGGGCACTCTATAGAAAAACCCATAGTGAAATCATACACGTCCAAATCTATCTCTTAATTTTGAAATGTATGACATTGACTACGGTAATTGAACCCTCCCCTAATGGAGAGAATCCGAATCCAAAAAAAAGGAAAGCATATGCTTCTGATCCTGAAGCCCACGATCAAATTACTTAGAAGGCCCACACCAACACAAAATATCGCCTCGACCTTTCATTATATTTATCCACCAAACAAACAAATTTCACAAAACCAGTTCTCGGAGGCAGAGACGCAAAACAATCCAAACAGGAGATTGAGGAACACACAAACAACATGTAGAAATCTTAGAAGGTATCCAACGATCACAAAAACAGAACTCGTCCTGTTCATGATTTCACATCTTTCTTGGATTATTTTGTGATAGCGTAAATGGCGTATATAATTCCTGGCAGGTATCCAAGTAGCGTCAGGACCAAACACAGCCAGAACTCCACCTGCAGCAACATTCAAAAAAAAAAAAAAGAAGGTCAAGATATGAAACTAGTAAAAACTATTAAGGATCTGAGCAATTCTCAGAGGACAGTCATAGGTTTTATTTTGATCCTGACTGCTATTAGCTCTAAACACCACGACTGTTCGATGGTAGTTTTGTGAAAGTTCACTAACTTCATGAATTTTTTTTAAAAAAAACAATGGAAGTTAATTTACACAAAATAAAATGATCTCTCTCATACACCAAAAGAAAAGAGCATCTGCAGAATCATAAGAATCTGTCAAAGCCCCTAGAATTGAAAAAAATAAAAACCCAAAAAAGGTTGAATCTAGAGAAAATGAATTGCTTAGACCCTGTAAAAAGGCTTAACAATTGAGGAAGATATATACCTTGCAACCGAACTTGAGGAAAACCCCAAGAGGAGGGAGGAGGATAGCTATGATAATATCAATGCAAGTTGCTGTTCCCATTTTTTTTTTTTGCGGACTACAATTGAGGAATGAAGAGCTTAATGCTTATCATTTTTACGCAAAGGAGGGGGGGGTCCTTTTTAAGCTTTTGCTGGCGGCTCGTGAATGGAGGAAAAGGGGTGAACAGCTAATCGTCGGTGCGCAACATCGAAAACGACGGCGAGGGACAGCTAATCCTCTTCCTTTGCCATTATCACCGTGTCTTGATTATGATCAGTTGTTTAATAATTAAGAGTTGCTAGCAAACAAGAAACTTAGCTAATGTCGCTTTCTTTGTTTTTAACTAAAAGAATTTGCAAATGAATTTGCTTTGGAGTAATTGCATATTAGCCCAATAGTCTTCTTTAATTGCCAAATGCTCCTCGAATTTCTGTACTACGGGAAATTAAAGTCCCTCGAATCCTCAATTTTTTATTGTAAAATCGTCGCTATGTTAGAAATCATGTTAACTTTTCTGATTGCAGTTAGTTTTAAGTCTTAACCCAACATGTAGAGTTACGCCTAGCGCCCCCGTGTTAAAGGAGACGAAGAGGAATAGATATACTGAAGAAATTAAGAGATTATATAGCCTTCAAAGTGGAACTTAATTAGCCATTAGAATAGCTTTGATTTGGGTCTAGGGATTTTATGACTATGGAAGAAGAGTGTTGGGTTTTGGGTTGTGAGTTTTTGGTATAAAAACATTATCAAAAGGTTGGTGAGTCTTAAATAGTAGTATTAAGAAAATATGGGGGGTATAATGGAAAATCTATGCATTTCCGTTTAAGATAGCGGAAATTTGAGGGCTTTTTGTTAAATATTGACACCTGAGGGATTTGTTGGCAATTAAAGAAGATGTAAAGGGCTAATATGCAATTTCCCTATTTGCTTTTGTTTAGGATTTGATAGTCGTTGCTTTCTAAGCAGCCCTTGTTGATGGATGAATTTAGGGGATAAATATAATATAACTTTATGAGAAATCTAGCAGCTTCTTGACGTGTCTCAGACCCTTTGGATTTGCTATCACCAGTTCGTGATACGCTTCTGTTTCAAGATTTGAAGATTGGGGATTATCCAAAACAACCCTCACTAGGGTTTGTTCTTCGAAGTTTCCATCATCAAATCTAAGGTTGGAAACCCTAACCCGATCTCCATCTTGATGGAAGTTCGTAAATGAGCATCAGGGCTCTACATAACTTATCGAACACTAGGGTTTGAATTCCGTGGGCTACGATTTGAGAAAATGACGACCATTGGATGAGAGTTAGGGCCAAAACTGGGGATTTTGGACGACATGGGCTAAAAATGTTCATGGGCCTCTAGTTCAAGGTTTAGGTTAGAATAGGAATTAACTGTTTTGAGCCGTTTGCTTTCAATTTGCGCTCGGAGCCTCAGGTTCCCTTATATTAGTTATAGCTCCAAAACTGGGATTAACCTATTGATGTCTGTTTAAAAGTCTTGTCTATGCTATTTTTTTTTATTTTTTTGTTTATTTTTTTGGGTACAAGTAACCTTGGGCTGGGACTCGCAGGTATCAGGGAGGAGCCCCGAGTTCGATCCCTCAACTCGGCCAGTTATAGAAATCACGGGGGCTTATGGGTAATACTTCCGACCTAGAATCGGTCACTTTTTGGTTTTACCAAGGAAGGGCCCATAATAAGGGCCCAAGGTGTCTGATAATACCAACCAAGTAAATCTCGGGGTATACACACACACATATATCTATACATATACGTACGTATGTGTATGTATGTGTATGTGTAGGTATGTATGTATGTAGATGTAGGTATGTATATATACACATACATACATGCATGCATACATACATGTATATACATACATATACATACATATACATATATATACATATATATATATATATATATATATATTACGCGTGCACACACACATAGATGTATATATAATCGAAGCGCCCCCTTTCACAGTTTAGACCTAGGTGAGTAGCACAGGCGATGCAATGCCTAATAATTAGAAATTGAGGATAGACATGTCATGGACATATAATATTTATTAATATTAAGACTTTGCTGGGCTTGGTAAATTTTCAAAATTTCCCAATTACCGTGTCTTCCTCGCTTAATAATCTTCATTATGACAATTTTCTCATAAAAAGTAGGTTTTTTCAACTAAATTCAAAATAAAATAAAATAAAATGCAAAACTTTAACAATGTCT